CATTTTACTTTTGTTATATTTAAGAAAATCTTTATTCATATTGCTTCATTTATATTGAACTAATTTATTTGCAAAGAACACATACATGACAAATTCATAATTCCTGCAAAGTTCTACAGAATTTGATGTAGGCTGCACACCGCGCCGCACCCCTCTGCGCGATTTCGACATCAGTTGACGGAAACTTTCATAACCATGTATATCTCCAAAACATCCTACTATTTTGCTACCCTACCTTCGTTTCCTCAAGTTGTCATCTTGCTCCATCGGCGTTCATCTTTCGTGGTAAAAAGGAAAATCATGTAGAGATATTATATACAAATTATAACTCCACTCATGTTGACCATTTAGATCTTCTGAACAAGGATTCATGATCACCTGGAAAAGTGTTATATGATCAAGTTTTTAAATCTACTCTCCACCACCCTTCCCCCACCCCCCCCCCCCCCCCCCCCCCCCCACCCCACCATACAAAAGCCTGACAGCCCGTTCAGAGTTTTTCCCGACATCTTTGTAAATTTACTGACTTTGGAAACTTTGTTCCTATTGCAAAACTTGTTTCCAAACTTTGCTTGACATCCCCACATTATTACAGATATTTCAATGACACCGCTTTTCTGTGTCCACCTTGATCCATCCAAGAAATGAATCTCTCCCGTACATTGTATTTAAAATTGTTAAATATCCTCTTCAAAACAATTCAAAATTATCTCCATTATTCCATAATTGTACTCATATACCTGTTATATATTTCCATTATGTACATATATTAAGGAAAACAAGTTTCAAGATTACTGTGAAATGATGCCATCATGTTTACAAATAAACGTACATGGATACCTGTCAATTTATGTGCGAAATTTAGGTGTCCATATCATTTTGTATTTTTAACATTTGCCGCAATGTCAACAATAAGTTTCATGAGTTGGGTTCTTCTGTTAAAGCTTATCTGAGGGAAAGATATTTAAATGACAAATACAATTATCTTTCACATAATTTCCCCTTCATCTTTATCCATTTTTTTTTAATTTTTTATATTTTAGCATTCAATAGAAACAAATTGGTCCCTGCCTTGAAAACTAGAGGATTTTGAACGTCTTTCAATCATTGTCTTATTATTGTTTCACAGAACATGTTCAAATACAGTTCACCGACAACTAAATTAACAAAGAGACAGCGCTCTTTTTTAAAAACTGCCCCCATAAAATATTTCCTTTGGATTGTGGTCAGCTTTGTAAAGCTACATTAGCCTATCACAGTTCTACATAATGCAAATGAGAACGGACATGACTGACTAAATGTGTCAATAACCATCGGATAGATGAATGACCATAACCTTGTTTCTTTCAGTACAACTCAATACCTCGTCCTCTTTGTCATGTCATGAACTCATGCTTTATGAAGTTACATCAATGATTACATTTGGAACAGGAAGATGGGGTCACTTTCTCGAAACACTTGTCAAAAATTTATTCATCAAGACAAATTATTTGAGCAAACAAAATCCTGAATACCGCCTTCCATCTCGATCAAGCTTTTACAGAAATTTAGCTGCAGTTACCGCCACGCCCCAAAGCCGTTATTGCCCAGGGCATGACGTGTGGCACTACATGTATATAGTACCCACAGCCGTCTATACACAGAGTTTGGCCAACCCGGTTCGAGTTGGTCACAAAATGGCGACTACTGCTTTGTTGGGCAAGCACGAACAAAAAAGAATATACGCCATGATGTGACACAAACTCTCTTAATCAATGGCACTGATAGTACCCAGAGCCATCTATATACATCTACATGTGTATAGATAGCTTTGATAGTACCTAGCCTGTCCGGTCACCAGCTACTGTTAAAGACCAAATCTTCTCCCGACATTTGAAGATTCTACAATTAAACTTGCTCACAGCCTAACGAATCTTCTTCTCTATTAAAATTACAAACATTGTGTTATGGAACTAGTTGTGTATATAGTTTAGTTTCTTCTTGTTATTAGTTTATGTTTTATGTAAACGATATGGGTTTACTCATTTTTTAACACAAAAACGAGTAAAAGAGAAAAAAAGACTGAATTTGCCTCGAAACCACACAATTCTACGTCATATTCCCCCGGCCCCCCCCCCCCCACTCAGTGTTATTTAGGGTACGCATATGCGTGTTCCAACCGACCCCCCCTTTTCAGCAAAAGTCCGGTGTGTAAAGTCAATACGGCTCGACCTTTTTCTTTTGTATACGAGCCTTTTTCCGCACCCCCCCCCCCCCCCTTTTCAGCAAAAGTCCGGTGTGTAAAGTCAATACGGCTCGACCTTTTTCTTTTGTTACGAAAAGGACATTTTGGGAACACGCATGCGGTCATTTTGAAACCTGAGTGGGGGGGGGGCGGGATATACCCATTAGTCATACCATGCTTTACGGACTGGCACACTCTTTATATCATGTCACGGTATCGTAGGTGAATAAGAATAAGATATGTCATACGGTTGAGATTGTAACAAGAGTAAAAGGAGAAATAAGAGCACGTTTGAAAGGAACGTTTTGAAAGGAAACGTACCTCGATTGAAATCATTTGTAATGATGTTCACGCTGGAAGGTTTTACAACAACAAAAAGAATCCTTTGATGATCACTAATAGTAACCCAAGGAGTGTGGGTGCTTTAAAGCTCAAAAAACATGTTTGTCGAAATGTCAAATAGATTCTTTAGAGTAGAATTACAACGGAAAAATATTTGAAGTGTAAGCATGTCCAAATGAGGGTATCTTTCGTTCCACTTTGATACAAACAATGCTTGCTTCAAGAATATACGAGAACATTCAGACAGACATATAACTCAAGTGATCAATAGAAAACAATATTTTGGCTTCTATTTATGACACTTTACCTGATATTCAGGTCTCTCATCCTTTACTAGATTCCACATATACATATGTATCCTAATGTAATTCGGGAAATAAGTGAAAACCCTCAAAGGTAAAGACCGAACTACATTCATGCATTTACCAATGTGTCAGGAAAGAAATTTATTTGTTTCGCTCTTTGGTCTGGAGTGTTCTTTGTTAAGGTCAGGTGAAGATGTTAAGGTTAGATGTTTTCTTTTCAGGCCAAGATGTATTGTTCCCTATGAATAGGCCTAGGGAAGTCATTAATTCAGTGTACATCTTTTATCTGTTGTTTAGCACACATTTAGGAAGCCTCTTTTCAATACAAGTATTTTTCTTTGTAAGATCATTTCCTCTCCAAATATTTGTAGTCGTGTTTTTAGAATTTACTTAGTAACCGTAGGGTATATTAAGAGGTGGATTTTCTGCAATCGAGGAGAACCACCTAAGCTATAATAGACTTAACGTCATGTTAGAAGTCGGCAATTAAAGTCAATATCTGAGGGTAATTCCACGTCGGGACGAGAGGCTAGCTCAACTGCCACCCGGTTCTCCATAGCTTTCGTCGGGGGCTAGCTCTTGTCTGGGATCGGGACGCACACCATCGTATCTCAGTCTGCGGAGGTCAAGAATCTGGGGCGACTACCGGGGCCAAGTGGAGCAGAGACGCTGTCTGCGGAGGCCAGGGCCAAGTGGACGACACGAGCTGTGACCGGCGTCGATGTCAGACGGGGAACTACCCATCCAGAATTATTTTGTTAAAGATAAGTCTAATTACATACTGTATTATTACTGAAACCAAAACAAAGTGTGTGAAACAGGAGAAATGATTGGAAATTAAACGTTACAATTTAACTTTAATTAACAAGCTCTATTTCCCTTTATTTTGTGTGTCCGTAGCAATAATAAAAAATACAAAAAAGTCTCTCACGTGACAATTTGGAGGTCCCACCGAGACATTGCTACTTATAAATAATTTCAAGAAGGGAATTGGATATTTCTTCCCCTCTTTTCCCCGCATACGAATTTGATGTTTAATTGATGTTTGGGGTTGAAATATAGGTTAAAAGAAATTATCAATGCTAGGTTGATAAAAGCGATAATGTCAAGAGTTTAGTGGATTCTCCCCAAGGTTAAGCCATTGGTAACGCGCCTATAGACTAGGGTAGTGCTTAGGCGGGTTGTGCATTATGCATGGTATTTTTGCTCGATTAGAGATTCCAGGTTTGAACTACTGTAGGCTTTGAATGTTCATGTTGTGAAGTTGACCGGTGTTTCGCATGGTTGAATTTTGGGTTCTCGTTAGGAGAAATTCTAGTGTGCTTATTTTCTAATTCACGCTGTTCAAACGAAAATAAATTATTTTCCATCGCGCTTTCACCCACCTGCTAAAGAAAACATATACAATTACTTTCCAAACACTTAGGGGAGCACCGCTCATCTAGGACGGCTGCGGACACCTCGTTTACTGGCACCAAGTAACACTACACACGGGTTAACTTGGATAATGAAATTTGATACACACCTTCTCAAATACTTACGTATGCAAAATTATGCATATGAAAAGAACACCTCTTTTCGTCAATGTGCGTTCTTACACCTGTCAAGCCAACATTTTAAGCATAATCTATTGAACTACTCCACCTGTCGAGCCAAACTTGTAAGCAAACTAAGGCAATTGTCACACATCTCCTGTTAAGGCAAAGTTGCGAAGCCCTGGCACCATCTAGTCATGCAGAACATAAGCAAGAAATTCAACTTTCCTAAAGAATCTGTAAAGAAGAAAAAATTCTTTTAGAATTTTTAAAATCGGGTGGTCCGCACTGCCTCGTTAGATAGCAGTCAATGACCAACGCCCTACTCTTATTCAACCTTCCCGCCACGCAACTCTTGCATACATTATGCAAAGTGGGGTCAAAGCTCCGATGGAAAATGTCATTATTTTCTAATTCACGCTGTTCAAACGAAAATAAATTATTTTCCATCGCGCTTTCACCCACCTGCTAAAGAAAACATATACAATTACTTTCCAAACACTTAGGGGAGCACCGCTCATCTAGGACGGCTGCGGACACCTCCGCTATGTTTCCCCCCATTTCAAGGTTTAAAGAACGGGACAGACACTATAATTTGCAAACACATCATATTAGTTTATTATCCTAACTGAATCCAAAAGATCACAGGTTACAGTAGTCCATAGTCATATCAGTCCATCCGAAATCCGTTAATACAATTCATAGCATAACTGTCAAATTACTTAACAATCCATTGAACATTACAATAGTTCAACCATATTTACAAACCTGCACACTGGCGCATCATCCACTTTAAGACTTTAACATAATAACATTAGGAAATTGTGAATTCCTACTATACCTTCTCAGACTCAGCTAGATACCAATATTAAGAGATACACTGAGCTGGTTCTTAAGCGATTCTTTTACATAACCATCCTTAGCAGAATCAGATTTCCACCTTCCATGTTTCTTGAAAAGACGATCAGATATACCTAAGGCAGCTGCCGCAGAGGCACCACCTGCCCTAAGGCTATGCAAGCCAAAGTACGATGAATCTAACCCTATTGACGATAAGGCAGCCTTAAAAAGATCACGGCATGTTGTATACGACAATTTGCCCCCTCTCAAAACATATTTCTTCAAGGATTTCTTGAGCGTCAATGGGCGGAAAAGGTATTCCTCTGAAGAACCTGGAATGATGTCACCTAATAGCATATATTTATTCAACATGGCAACTGGACAGGTAGGTTTACCTGTTGCAGCAATAATCACCCAGGCACCTTCTCTATATTGGTCAGTTTTACTATGCTGAATGAAACATTTGACATGTGAAGTATGTACAGAAATATCACACTCTCTGAGCTCCACTAGCTCAGCGTGCCTAAAAAAGCCTGCATAAGCTAACAGTGTCATAGAACACAATCTGGCTTCCTTTAAACAATTAGAACAACCATACTGACAAGTTTATTCAGAATGTCTGGAGTTATACGTTCCTTCTTACATTTTGGATGAGCTAGAATTCTTTTCAAGCCTGCAAGAAGTAGATGCAAAAATCTTGAATTACAGGGATTCACCTCGGTTACTGGCGAGCAGTCAAGAACCCATTTAATACCAAAATGTGCTCCTTCAATCCTTGAATAAGGTGCATCATTATTATACATGCTCATATAATACCTTGCGATATCCGCCTTTTGCGCCGGTAACTCACACACACAGTTTATAGCACACCATGACTTCCCATCTTCAAACGCTTTCCTGTATTTCGCAACAGTGCTAGTAGCTCTAGATGCCATCAACACTTCCTGCAATGATTTATGGTCACTTGTTATCCTCCAATTCAATATACAGAGAAAAATTGAAAATGTTGTTCTCATACGAAAAACTTGAGTTCATCAAACCAAACGGTTAAATATAATTGAAAACACTCAAAATTAGTCATCCACATGACCAACCTACTATAAACTGGAGAGAATACCATGCGGGTTTATAACTCTCTTAAATGCAATGCTGCACAATCAATCCTGTTATCCCATAACAATATCACATTCATGTATATACTATTATCTCTGTTTCCAATCTCAAACCACTTTTACCTCCTGAGATTCCACTTAGAACTTAAGGAACCCTAGAATTTCTTCCATCCAACCTCAGGCATAAGACCTCACTTGTCATCTTGGAAGTCCCAAAAATAGAATTAGGGTTACGACCTTGAACAAAGATATGCTTTGGATCAGAAAATCTCATGACCTCAACCACCAGGTTACTGAAACTACTGTTTGATGAAAACAAAAGAGGCCAAAATGGGGCAGACGGCCATGATGGCACAATCAAAGTCGCTAAAGCCCGGCAAACTTTAACATGTTTGATCGCCCTTCCCACCAGGGAGATAGGGGGGATCAGCCAATTCCTCTCCTTACTCCAATCACCAGAAAACGCATCTACTTGAGTAGTAGAAGGACACCAGAATTTAGAATTAAAAACCGGCAATTTATGATTGAACTCATCAGCAAATCTATCTACTGTGTGCGAGCCCCATTTAGTATCAACGAACTTAAAAAACTCTACAGTAACACCCCAATCATCGAAGTCTTCTTGTCTACTCAGGATATCTGCCTCTACATTCTCATCTCTCGGGACCCATTGCACAGAAACTTCTAAGGGTAGACTGTTACAAAAATCAGCAATACGCAATGCTAAATCATGCAAATCGGCCTTCATACTGCCTTTTCTCATAATGACCTCTACACCAGTGTTGTCAGTAAACACCTTGACCTTCTTTCCTTTTAAACTTGGCGAGAATGCTTCTATTGCCAATGAAACTCCTTTGAGTTCTCTCCATGTTGAACTTTTACCAATTTCATCACACTTCCAATTCTGGAAAAAATTCAGTTCTCCACACTGAGCCGTCCAGGCGCCACATCCAATGTTGCTAGCATCCGAAAACAGTAACACTTGAGGTGTCGAATACTCAAACAAAATTCTGTTATTTAATCTATTTAGATTTTCTTTCCAAAAGAAAACTTCTTTGAATACAGAACTGCCAACGGCTAACTTATAAACCTTGTCCCAATGTAGGCGTTTTGTCACCTCCATGTACATAAATCTAGTTCTCAGTTGCGAAACATTCCCTACAACTGGATACAAGGACATAACTTTACCTGCAAGAGAGGCTAATTCTCTGGCTGAAACCAATGGAAATTTCAAAGACAGCCTATCAATACATTCAAAAATATCAGATATTCGGCGTTCAATTACTCTAATAGCTCCTGCCTCTGAATCCCAAATCATACCCAACCAATTCAACTTGGTTGTGGGGGTCCAAACAGACTTCTCAATATTAGGCACAAATCCTGCGGCTAACAAATCATCTTTGACACTACTTGATACTAACTTGCATGAACGCAAAGAATCACATCTACACCAACCGTCATCAAGGAAAACAATAATAAAATACCCTTTCTTCCTCCAATGTCTGACAAGAGGTCGGATACATTTAGTGAATATATACGGAGCTGTCGATAGACCAAACGGCAAAACCTGGAAAGAAAAGTATTTAACTACCTTTCTGATCTCCCAACTAAAGCTTAGATATTTACAATGTTCCTTAAAAATATCAAAATGATGGTATCCAGACTTAAGGTCAAAACTGAACATAAAGTCACCTTGTTGGAAAAATTCAAGAGCAATATTCCAATCCTCAAACTTGACCTTTTGTTTCCACAAGAATTGGTTTACATACCTAAGATCCAAAATAAGTCTTAGCTTACCAGAGCTCTGAACTGAAACTGATAAGGGATTCATTACACAAGGTTTAGTTTTACATTCTACAATAAGGTTCTTAGCCAAAAGTTCATTCACAGCTTCCAAAACAAAATCATTATACTTAATTGCAGATTTGTTGTTCTTGAAACAAGCTGAAGGTGGTGTATTTACAAAAGGTAATTTGTACCCTTCGCAAACAATACTAACAATCTCTGGTTCCGCACCAATAGCACACCAAAATTCAACAGATGCTTTGAGCCTTCCTTTTACTAATGGCTCTGAAATTCCTTGTTCATATTCATGAAAATTATTAATAAAAAAACTCAGGATCGTACCTATCTGGTTGATTCCTGTCCAGTTTTTTAGGCAACACCTCCACTTTGCTTAAATCCGGGGCTACTTCTGGTTCCATCATCATCGCGTCTGCATCCGTACTAATTAGATTTGTGGTAGGAAAATTGGGAATATCCGAGGCTGATACACTAGGGCCAGCATGTCTCATCTTACGAAAATCTCGGGGTTCTGCGCATAAAATTAGTGAAACCACAATTTTAATTCACCACAACATCTAAACATCTTATTTATGTAGGCGACAATGGAATCTCAGTATAGTCAATCACCATTTTCATTCTAGAACATGAAATTTGCAAAATTCACAATCCTATCTTTCCTCTCATGTCTCACTCTTTCAAAGACTGCCTACCGATACCGTGATATTACATCATCCCTTTACTCATTTACTAAACATAAGCAATTGGATAAAATTTTAACCAATTCATATAACAAGTGAACGTTATACAACCTATCACTTCATTCTGTTCCAAATTTATAAAACCAATAACAATTCTGTAAACCTTTTATTTGTATAAAAGGGGTATCATAATACTGCAAATATAGCCAATACTCGAAACCGATAATATTTACCTTTATTCTGCTCTCCAACGTTAATTCCATTACTGACCGTCTTTCGACAACTTGGGGCTATAACCAGGGCAATTCCGTCTCCAATGACCCGTCTTCCCACATGCGAAGCAGAAATCAGATGACTTGGGGCCTGACTGATAGGTGGGATTGAATGGTCTCGTGTAAGGGGTATTATGGCGGATTGGGCCACGAAAATTATTAGCATAACTGGGCATATAAGCCGGATTGGCAGGAGAAGCCATAGGTCTCCTCGCCTGATAAGGCTTGGGTTTAGGAACAGATTTGAGACCGGTCTTCTTCTTCCTGGCTGCTGCCCTGGCTTGGGCAGAACGGATCTTTTTATCATCTTCACTATCCTCTGCTAAATCATCCGCCAGATACTCATCAACCGCCAACCACCCCGCTTCAGACTTATCTGCAAGCTTCACCAACTTGTTTCTTTGCCTTAGATCTTCTTCAGCTTTGTCAAGTATTGGAGCAGCACTGCTCCCCAAAGGAAGTGATTTCTTGACTTCCTGTAATTGATCTAAAATGGAGCAATTAAAGTTTACCTGCTCCTCATTCCCCTTGAACCTGAACTGTATTTTTTTTTTGCTTTGAGCTTTTGTATGTCAAAAGTAGCCTTTTCGTTTGCCTTCTTTTGCGATTCAAGTTGATTATCAACATAACTATGGATACCTCCAATCGCTTGCGTTAAAGCCCCTGCTACGGCCACATTTATTGCATTGGTCAGAGCATCTAAAGATACAGGCTCACCTTCTTGTCCTCTGACTACTGGCTGCTCAATATTGCTTGAAACACCTTCCATTACAATCCGACTCTAACACCACACAAGGAAACACTATCTGTCACAATCCCTTGCTGGAGCAAAATCGGGTGGTCCGCACTGCCTCGTTAGATAGCAGTCAATGACCAACGCCCTACTCTTATTCAACCTTCCCGCCACGCAACTCTTGCATACATTATGCAAAGTGGGGTCAAAGCTCCGATGGAAAATGTCATTGTTAGAAGGCACTAGGGGTTAATTGTCTGGTGTGAAGCGGACCGGTGTTTCGCATGGTTGAATTAATTGTAGGCTCATTGGGAGATACATTCTAGTGTGCTTGATAATTTGACTACGATTATGTCGTAGATGTTCGTGGCAGTGCTAAGACGTGTCATATCAATCTGTTGAAGCAATACTATAGTAGACCCGTGAATGCCCCAGTAGGTGCCTGCTTTGAAGTCGGTGTTGATGACGATGAAGTCATTGATGTCGAAGATGATGTCAGTGAGGTTGAGGAGACTGAAGTTGATCCCGATTGGGGGGATGAAATACCCAAAATGCAAAGTGCAATTCAAAGTGAATTCGTGGACAGGGTGGGGATAGATGGAAACTTAGATGAAAATCAGAAAAATCAAGTACGAGACATTCTCTGTGAATATCAAGACATATTCACTGATATCCCTGAGATCATGTTGACACCTGATCAACCTGTACGGACTTCACCTCATAGGGTACCACAAGCTATGGAGAGTGAAGTTGATAAAGAGATAGATTCCATGCTTCAGTTAGGGATTATTGAACCATCTAACTCCCCATATGCCCATCCGATAGTCATAGTTAAGAAGCCAGACGGATCGAATCGATTTTGTGTCGATTTTAGACGTTTGAACAAGTTAACTGTCTTTGATCCAGAACCGATGACAAACCCCCAGGAAATGTTCGCTTCCCTTGCTAAAAGCAAATATTTCACGAAGCTAGACTTAACAAAAGGCTATTGGCAAATTCCGATGCGTAACGAAGATAAAGCCAAAACGGCTTTCCTCACTCCTAAGGGGCAACACCAGTTCAAATACATGCCTTTTGGGCTTGTGACAGCCAGTGCCCAATTCACTAGGATGATGAGAAAAGTACTAGCGGGTATGTCAAATGTTGTGAGTTATATAGATGATATTTTAATTCACACGAGTACTTGGGAAGAACATGTGAAAATACTTAGCGAAGTCCTTGGTAGGTTACGGGGAGCCAATCTGGCCGCTAAACCCTCTAAATGCACCGTAGGTTCCCAAAACATAGAATTTCTTGGCTTTCATCGAAAGGGTGCGGTGCGGTGCGGCGCGGTGTGGTGTGCTCAACGCACCCATTCGATAAAAGAGGGGGGCCTTTTCTCGAAAGGGTGCGTTGAGAGCGGAGTACCGTTTTAACACACCCTTTCGATGAAAGCGGGGGGGCTTTTCTCGAAAGGGTGCGTCGACTAGTCTTTCGCATCAGTCGTTTAAAATGAGGATCTCGGACAGAAGGTAATAGTTGCCAATTTAAGTATATTGAAAATGTATTAAATAAAATGGAATGGTCTTGATTACAGAGTGGTCTCTTTCATTATTACTATGTTGATGGGGGAGACAGAGAGAAGGAAAAAAGGGAAAGGGAAAGGGAAGATAAAAGGAAAGAAAGAAGAATAAGAAGAAAAGAGGGAAACTGGGGGGGGGGCGAAGGGCTCTTGCCTCCTCCTCACCACCCCCCCCCCCTCCCCGCCAAAAAAATAAATAAGAGACAGAGAGAGAGAAGGGAAAGGGAAAGAGAAGATAAAAGGAAAGAAAGAAGAGGAAGAAGAATAAAAGAGGGAAACGGGGGAAGGGCGAAGGGCTCTTGCCTCCCCTCGCCAAAAAATAAATAAGAGAAAGGGAGAGAAGGGAGAGAAGGGAGAGGGAAAGAAAATATAAAAGGAAAGAAAGAAGAGGAAAAAGAATAAGAAGGAAAGAGGGAAACGGGGGAAGGGCGAAGGGCTCTTGCCTCCCCCCCTCCCCGCCAACAAAATAAATAAGAGAGAGAGAGAGAAGGGAAAGGGAAAGAAAATATAAAAGGAAAGAAAGAAGAGGAAGAAGAATAAAAGAGGGAAACGGGGGAAGGGCGAAGGGCTCTTGCCTCCCCTCGCCAAAAAATAAATAAGAGAGAGAGAGAGAAGGGAGAGGGAAAGAAAATATAAAAGGAAAGAAAGAAGAGGAAAAAGAATAAGAAAAGAGGGAAACGGGGGCAAAGGGCTCTTGCCCCCTCCCTCCCCCCCCCCCCCCCCCCCGCCAAAAAATAAATAAGAGAGAGAGAGAGACTGTTCTGATCCTGGTCCTGATCCTCAAGAGGGATATAAAGATGACCAATAAGAACGTTATCGTTCGAGAGAGAGTGTTTGTTGCTTCTAGAACATTTTAGAATTAAGTCCCATCACATTGCAGTTGTGGGGAGGGACTATGATTATATTACCCCCTTGGATGGCTTCCCAGAGTCTGGCTTTGAAGGTTTCGACTGCGTCGCAGGCAAAGATGCTGGGGGGAAGTAAATTCCAGGCCCGTATGGTTCTTGGAAAGAAGGTGAGTCGATATATTTCCGTCTTGCATCTTATGTTGGAGAAGGAGAGGGAAAGAGAAGATAAAAGGAAAGAAAGAAGAGGAAGAGGAAGAAGAATTTGTGTTCTGCCAGTGTCACAAATAGATATATAAATATGCTCATCTGACGATAATTTGATGTATAAAACCCCTCACCTTCTTGGGGCTCTGCCCCTTGGATCCAACACCAATTTGTGTCCTGCCAGTGTCACAAATAGATATAAAAATATGCTCATCTGACCGTTATTTATTGCCCAAAACCCCTGAGCTTCCGGGGGCTCCACCCCTGGACCCCACGCCAATTCGTGACCTCTGTGTCACAAATAAGGTATAAAATAATAATAATTTAATATACAAAACTCCTGAGCTTCTGGGGGCTCCGCCCCCTGGACCCAACACCAAATTGTGTCCTGCCACTGTCACAAATAAGGTATAAAATTATGCTCATCCGACGTTAATTTTGATTTAATACCCCTGAGCTTCTGAGGGCTCCGCCCTGTGAAAAAAACGTGTAAAAAAACACGTTAATTTTACCGGGAGATAGCCCCCCCCCTGGCGTTCAAGGGGGGGGGGTTGATTTTTCAAATTTTCGAGGGCCCCCAAAAAGATTAGTGCTCTCTAGTAATTACTCCGGAACCGCGGCAGATATAAAGTTTTTCTTTCATGACTTTTTTCTTTCGAGTCTTACGCATCTTTTGAAACATTTTTTTGTTGAAAATCGGACGTATAGTTGCGGAGTCACGTGACCTTTTGTTTTTGCATGTCAGCCCTAAAATCGCTCATTTTTGTGATTTATGTACCAAACATATGGAAATACCATTTATTCTTTTAAAAAAAGAGAAAACATTGGTTATTTGGTCTTGTTTCAAGTTAATGTGTTTGATTTTGGGTCAAAATAGTTGAATTGTGGTTAGAAATGAAATAAAACAACAAAAATAATATAATACATAAATACAAATTATCAAAACAAGAGATAACATACGGATAAACTGGCTCTTCCAACTTTGTTGTCGTATTATTATTCCAACGAATATATAGTGAAAAAGAACGCTTGAATATGAATTATATATGATTTATGGGTAAAAATGTGAATTCTCTGACCTTGTTTGCATAAATTACCATAAATATGCATTTTCGCGGTGATCGGCTGTGAAACGGCCGAGATCTTAGGGGGGACCCCCCTCCCCCTCCCCCCCCCCCCCCCCCCCCCCCCTCAAGTCTCCTCCAATCACATTGAAAAAAAGTATGACTTAAATCATCTTTCTCATCATTATACCGCTATAGTATTCATGTTTTTAATATTATTTATTGTCCATTAAACAAGTTCAAAGAGAAAATACTTATCTCTCTGCAACATTAAAAAAGAATCTTCATTATTATGTCTTAATTTGTATTGATAGCCTTGTGGTCGCCAACAGTGGCGTAGGCAGGGGCGTCTCCAAAGGGGGGTGTGGGGGTGCGACACCCCCCCCCCCAAATGTCAGGATATTGTCGGTAAAATTGCGCTGCCGTCGGGAAAAAAGAGAAAAGGGGAAAGAAAGGAAAGGAAACAAAAGAAAGGAGGCAAGAGCCCTTTGCCCCCGTTTCCCTCTTTTCTCCTTCTTCTTCCTCTTCTTTCTTTCCTTTTTTCTTCTCTTTCCCTTTCCCTTTCCCTTCTCCCTCTCTCTCTTATTAATTTTTTGGCGGGGGGGGGGGGGGAGGAGGGAGGAGGCAAGAGCCCTTCGCCCCCGTTTCCCGCTTTTCTTCTTCTTCTTTCTCTTCTTTCTTTCCTTTTATCTTCTCTTTCCCTTTCCCTTTCCCTTCTCTCTCTCTCTCTCTTATTTATTTTTTGGCAGGGGGGGGGGGGGAGGCAAGAGCCCTTCGCCCCCGTTTACCTCTTTTCTTCTTCTTCCTCTTTTTTCTTTCCTTGTATCTTCTCTTTCCCTTTCCCTTTCCCTTCACTCTCTATCTCTTATTTATTTTTGGCGGGGGGGTGGGGAGGGAGGGGGCAAGAGCCCTTCGCCCTTCCCCCGTTTCCCTCTTTCCTTCTTATTCCTCTTCTTTCTTTCCTTTTATATTTTCTCTCTCTCTCTCTCTTATTTATTTTTTGGCGGGGGGGGGGAGGTAAGAGCCTTTCGCCCTTCCCCCGTTTCCCTCTTTCCTTCTTCCTTTTCTTTCTTTCCTTTTATATTTTCTTTCCCTTTCCTTCTCTCTCTCTCTCTTATTTATTTTTTGGCGGGGGGGGGGGGAGGGAGGAGGCAAGAGCCCTTTGCCCCCGTTTCCCTCTTTTCTCCTTCTTCTTCCTCTTCTTTCTTTCCTTTTATCTTCTCTTTCCCTTTCCCTTTCCCTTCTCTCTCTCTCTCTTATTAATTTTTTGGCGGGGGGGGGGAGGGAGGAGGCAAGAGCCCTTTGCCCCCGTTTCCCTCTTTTCTCCTTCTTCCTCTTCTTTCTTTCCTTTTATCTTCTCTTTCCCTTTCCCTTTCCCTTCTCTCTCTCTCTCTTATTATTTTTTTGGCGGGGGGGGGGGGGAGGGAGGAGGCAAGAGCCCTTCGCCCCCGTTTCCCGCTTTTCTTCTTCTTCTTCCTTCTTTCCTTTTATCTTCTCTTTCCCTTTCCCTTTTCCTTCTCTCTCTCTCTCTCTCTTATTTATTTTTTGGCGGGG